ATCCTTGATCCCAGCTTTCACTGACAACCAGAGTAAAAGTATAGGGTGATGAGTCATTAGATCAACTCTACAGGCTTTTGTAATTGGCGGCCCTTAAAGAAAGGGTCTTATTCCACAAGTGTCTGTGGAATAAAATCCAAACTCCTTACCCTGGCACACAGAGCCCTGGTTCAGCAGGCTTTCTCCTACCTGGCCAGCCTCACCTGGCACCACACTCACCGTCACTCACAGTGGCCTTCTGTTACTGGAACATGCCCACAAACTCATTCCCACTGTTTCCCTAGCTCATCATATGACAGATTTTTTTTCAGAGGTTACATATTGGCCCCTTCAAGAGGCCACAACCACATAATATAGTTTCCCTACTTACCCCATGGTGCTCATTTACATTACTTTCTTTGGTTTTATTATTGCATTTATCCCATTCTGAAATTATTTATTTCATTGTTTCTCTGCCTGGAAGATATAAACTCCATGAGGGCCATGTACAGTGGCTTGCGTGTGTTAACTTTTTATTGAATGAACAAATGTGCACATGGATGCCTTCCCTACTTGGCAAGCTCGTTACCCTTTTCTATCACTTCCACATTTCACAGTCTCAGCCTTTTGCTGACCACTGGTATATAGATTAGAGTGAGTGTAGAGAATCTTCATAGTATCCTAAATTGACACTCTGTCCAGTGCTATGTATTTCCTTCTGAGCTGTCCCAAGGTCTCATGAACTGACTCTATCCACAGTTGAACTTTCCTCTTTGGACCAAAGCCAAGTCATACCCCTCTACCCTCCATGCCTGGAATGACACCTGCGATCCTCTGCTTTTCTTTCTCTATCTTTCTGGAGGCCTTTCAGTTTACATGCTTAGTCAAGGGTGAAATGTGCCTAAGACATCTCTGGCCTTGTCTTGCTCACCTGATGGTGTGGGAAACTGCAAGGGGCTGAGCATATGCTCATTTACTCATCATCTAGGCATTTGTGGCTTTGTGGGCATCATTTGAATCACTTGTGATTCCTGCATCCAGTCCATCCACTAAAGCACAGGTGGCAAAAACAAGGCCTGAGGGCCGAATCCAGCCCTCCACCTTGTTTTATCTGGCCTGGCACCTTGTTTCTACCCAGAGGCAGCGCTGAGCTCTCACCTAACTGTTAAGGAGTAGTTACATTTATACAGTCCTAAAATTACATGCGACCCTTTGAAGGCAACCATGAGGCTGATGTGGCCTCTGGTGAAAATGAGTTTCTCAACCTGGTGCCCAGGTTGGCACAGGTGCTCTCTTTTTGTGCTCCCTGTGCTTCTGTCACTGCACTTACCTCATTATTTTGTCATTATCTCTTTTTGCATCTCTTTTTCCTTGAAAAGAAGGAAGTATGATTCCTAGTTTTGTATCACTAGTGCTTGGCACAAAGCAGGCATTGAATAAATAGTTATCAAACAGATGAACAAATGAATGGGGTGAAACCTGAAATAAAAACATGGTTTATTAATACATTCAATTTATATGTACAGTGTCAGCCATGTTTATTTTTTAATAGAAATTTGTAATCTGTGCCAGGTCAATTCCAAAAAAATCAAGTTTCCCCCAGATGGATAGGTGGGGACTCAGCTTTGAGATGAATCACTTTGAGTGTATTCACAACCCACACCATGGAGCACAAATAAAGCAATGAAGAGACATCCAGAACTTTTTTGCATGGCCATACACATCCTGGGTAGAGATTTCACTACATTTATTCATTTAGCATTTGTTGGGTAATATGTTTTCACATGAACAAGAAAGGGAGCAGTTGATTTTTTTTTCAGTATGTTGTCACTTTACTTAATAGTTTAACACAGAAAGTGCCTTTGTGTTATTTGGGAAATGACATGATCTCTGAAGTCTGGGCGATGTTACACTCTCATGTTCATTTCCCATTGCCAGTCCTGTAGAGAATAAAGTGGATGCGAACAACAGAGCTGTTTTTCCCCCAGACTCATCTGTGCTTTGGCTAGTGCTGGATCTCCACAAGGTGGGATAGAGAAACTTCAGTGTTTCTCTTCCTGGCTGTGGACACATGTAGTCTTATATCACCTATTTTTCACTTGCCAATTTGTTTCATACAGAGGTATTCTCTTTTTTCTTTTTTATTGAATTTATTGGGGTGACACTGGTTAACAAAATAATACAGGTTTCAGGTGTACAATTCCACAACATGTTGTCCATTCACCACCCCAAATCAAGTCTCCTTCCATCACCATTTATGTCCCCTTTACCATCTTCTACCTCCCCACTCACCCCTCTTCCCTGGTGATCACCACACTGTTGTCTATGCCCATGAGGCTTTTCTTTTTCTTTTTCCTTTTTTGTTCAATCCTTTCACCACCCTCCCAGACACCCCACCAGCTGTTAGCCAGCTCCCTATCTATGCGCCTGTGTCTATTCTGCTTGGTAGTTTATTAAATTCCACAAGTGAGTTAAATCATATGGTCTTTCTCTGACTGTCTTATTTCACTTAGCATAATGCTCTTCATGTCCATCCATGCTGTTGCAAGCAGTAAGATTTCCTTCTTTTTCATGGCCAAGTAGTATTCCATTGTGTAAAGGTACCATGGTATTTTTATCCACTCATCTACTAATGGACACTTGGGCCCTTTCCAAATCTTGTGCAAATAGCACTGCAATGAATATACAGGTACTTAAATTCTTTCAGATAAATGTTTCAGGTTTCTTTGGGTAAACTTGGATGTATTTGGAGAGCATTATGCTAAGTGAAATAAGCCAGTTAGACTAAGACAAACACCATATGATTTCACTTACATGTGGAATCTAAGAAACAAAATGAACAAACAAAATGGAAACAGACTCATTGATACAGAGAACAGAGCAATGATTGACAGAGGGGAGGAAGGGAGGCTGGGGTCTAGGTGAAAAAGTCAAAGGGATTAAGAACTACAAATTGATAGTCACAAAATAATTACAGGGATGTAAAGTACAACATAGATAATATAGTCAATAATATTGTAATCACTATGTGTGGTGCCAGGTGGGTACTTGAGATATCAGAGGATTACTTTGTAAAGTATGTGATTGTCTAACCACTATGCTTTACACCTGAAACTACTGTAAAAAGAAATTTAAAAGATATTATCCCATTATCCTGCCTATCTCCTGTTAATCAAGGCCTTATGCAGTCTCTACTATGGGTTTAGCACCCCTGACATAGTTTTTCCTGATGTACAAAAACAGGTTCAGTCAAGACTTTGTTGTGATTATTACTTGTTTTACTGTCATGTGCTAGTTTTCAGAGATATGCCTACACATATTATCTCAATTATTTATTAATTCTATCTCACTTGATAGAAACTAAAAGTTTGCTTATCGATGAAAAGGAAGAGGCAAAAATCAAAAAGAGATTTAGTATTGAGCAAAATGTGAGTCTAAGAATCTTTTTTTTAGAAAGAGCAGTGGAGGTTAGCAAGAGTGGAAATGAAAAAATTATAGACTTGAACCTTCAATGTTAACAGAGTTTCTATTAAGCAATCTAACTAAAGGCAACAACAACATAAAAGGTGATGAATGGGTTAATACCAAGGATTAGGCCCTGTCTCCCAGGGGCTCAGCTGCTTCCCCTTAGTTCCTACTTCCTTCAGTACTCAGCCTTCCCCTGAATATCCCATTCTAACACTCCTGTCCCTACCATCCCCTCCCATCCCCTTCCATTCCCGTCTTGGCCTTTGTCAGCTGACTCTTTACAGGAAAACAATGTGATTTAGTACTTCACCCTAAGTGGTGAATGGTTGAGAGGCTTAATCCCTCTGGTGCATTAGCACCAAATTTGGAATTCTCTATAGGAATGGCCCCTCAAACTGCCGTACATTTCTCCCTCTCCCAGAGAACAGAGAACAGGGCATTGGACCGAAAAGGAGTAGGGGATTAGGACGTACAAACTTCCAGTTATAACATGTCATGGAGATGTACTCTACAGCATAGGGAACAAAGTCAATAATAATCATAATAACTGTGTATAGTGACAGATGGTTACTAGACTTATTGTGGTGATCACTTTATAAGGTATGTTAATGTCGAATCACTATACTGTACATCTGAAACTAATATAACATTGTATGTCAACTATAATTACAAGGAAATTTTAAAAGTAAAAGGTGAATGATAGCTTTAGGCTATATGTGGCCATTCCATTCCAATAAAACTAATATTATAAAATTAAAAAAAAAAAAAAAAAGAACGGGGACCTAAGTCCAGAAGTTGAGAGAGGCAGGGTCCAGGTGCTTGTCCAAGGCCATGTCCAGCTCTCAATTCTTCCATCTGCTCTGATAGTGATAAAGCAACTTTATCACTGAGCAGAAGAAACAATCAGTGCTGGGCTGTCCCTGCAAATTCTGCACAGCCCTCCTCTGTCCCCTTGGAAGGGGAGATACATAATGTTCCAGAATCCTTTGCCAGTAGCTCCTGGTAGGATTCCCGGCAAGAGGTGCCTGCCTGAGGTCTGCCAGGTGGGAGAGAAGCAGCAGCTGCCATTTATCCCTGGCAAGAGGGGCGGCCGTCCACGTGGACAGCAGTTATGCCTGCGCCCTACGGCCAGGTGGCGGCTTCCAGAGGAGCCCCTGCCACTCTTTCACATCAGTGCTGTTGGCTTCCTGGCTTCCTGAGATCCTCTCACTTCTAGATTTCCTGAAAGCCAGTGGGGTTTTCCTTGACCTCCACTTCCCCAGTCTTTCAGATGGTTTTGGAAGCGTCTAATTTCTCCCTGCTTTCTGTTTTCTTGATAATACTCTAACTGCTACAGACAGGTTTGCTGATTTTATCATTCTGTGGTGTCCTGAAGCAAGTTGTTTCTTCCCCAACCAAGAATGTAAACCAGTGACGATGCAGGATGTGTTCTAAATTTATAATAAAGCGTATTTCTTGGTCTTTTCTAGTCATTTTATACATGTTCCTTGAAATCTCCCATACCCCCTCCTAAAAAAAATCAATGAAATAAGTGAAAGCATCTGCATTTTTAGTTAAGTTTTTTCATTTATTATAGCTGCTATTGCTGTTATTTTATCTTGCTTTATACCAGAACTGTGACAGAGGGCCATTAGTTTTACAGAAAGTGAAGAAAGGTAAGATGGTTGCTTAAATTTTTCCCAAACCTGGCCAGATGGGAAATTTACACATCCTTCAAGTTTATGAAACAGGCGTCGAATCTTTATTAAAGTGGCCAGCAGAAGAAGGTCATTCTCGTTGATGTAGTGGTGAACTGGAATCTCCTCAGGGTTCATTAGCTTTTCAGCAAAGAGAAAGAGAAGGGAAGCTGAGGATCTGGTAGTGGGAATGCCCTTCTGTGGGCCGAGGCCAGTGGTTACACTAATTTGGGTTTGGATTCCCTCTTGAGTCTGATTATAAACAGGGGCAGTGGTGTTACTCTAACCTGAACAAGGGAGCGAGCTGAAATGCTGTGGAGACTTGAGAGACCAGAGTAGGCCAGAGTAAATTATTTGGATACTTTCAAATACTTACAATTTAGTCAAGTAATTTAACCAGCATATACTTGGGGAGCACAGAGATGCTGCAAACACAGTTTCTTCCTGGGAAGTGCCAAGTAGGGGCCCATGTTGTGAGCACTGGCTTGGAGGCTGATGGGGCACTGAGGGGGCAACCTTCCTCAAATGAGGTAGTACCTTAGCTGGGTTTTCAAAGAGGACTAGAAGGACTAAAACTCTTCCTTCTAAAAGGTACTCCTACCTCCAGGAGGCCGGTCCACATTAACCTCTCCATGACCCTTCCTCAGCCCCTGCTCTCCTTACTTCCTCATAGCCTGTGATTCAGGCTGACATCTGTTTGCAGCTGCAGGAAGGTGAATGGACCTGCTAGCACAGCCTTGCCTGCAAAGTTTCTAGTCTGTAGCTTCAGGACCAGCCTAGAGGGCCGTTTAGTGGGGCAGACTAAATATAAAGCTGAATTACTGCCCTCTGCAAGCTGAGTGACCACTTACCTGCAAAAGACACAAGAACTCACAATATCCTTCTGCATTTTCATCCCTCCTCCACAGACAGAAAGGATGGAGGGGAGGAAGGAAGGGCAGGAGGAAGGAGTATGAGATGGATGATAAGAATGGATCAGCATTTTTTAACTTCATTTCAATTCCAAATCTCATAATATGACAGAAAACTTTTTTGGAGATCAATAATGGTTTTAGAAAATATGAAAAATTTTCATCAGCAGAAATAATCTTCAGGAATTCTGAAAAACCAAAAAGCAGATGGGAGCCATATCCAGAGTGATAAATGACCGAATGAAACCATTAACCTAAAACACACACATTTGGAGCTGAAAGTCAACAGAAATGAGAAGCAGGAGGGGCCCTGAGGCAAATACTAGAATAGTGGGCAGGGAGGTAGCCCTTGTCCTCCCCCTGCGTTGAGCCTCATAGTGGGGCTAGCCTTCGACCCCTCCACCGCACATATATCCTCCCCACAGTCATCAGAAGCAAACTTCAATTAGCAGAATATGCAGGAAGATAGGGATTCTCCACCACAGAAATGAACACACAACCAAGAATCACCAAACATTTGAGGAATTTTGACTCCATGACAGAGAGGCACCAGATTTACCCATCAAAGATGCTTATATTCAAGGAAACAGAATTAGTAGCCAGAGGAAGACTTTAGAATATATATAGTTAACATTTTCTGAAGGATTTGAGAGGATTATTGTTATCAAGGAAAAGAAGTAACTGGAGGACTTGGAAGTTAATTCTATACATATAAAATATATAGCTAAAAATTTTAGAGTAACTGTTAAAATAGAACACATTATAAGACTGATTTTATTAGGTTGAGGAAAGCAGCAAAATCCATCTATATGTGTTTACAAGAGATACATCCAACTTGAAACTGGATTTAACTGGATTAAAAGGTTGGAAATCTAAGGGGGAAAACAGTGCAGCAAGCAAATGCTAACTAAAAGAAAGCAGGTATAGAAATTTAACATCAGGTAGAATAGCATTTAAGCCAAAGGCCATTAAAAAGGGAAATTGGGAAGAATTTTAACTTTATTGTTAAATAGTAAAGGCAGACAAGAATGATAAAATGAAAAATTATTTCAAACCCCACACCAAATCCCCTCATTGATACCCTGAGTCACATAATGGGCAGTGCTGAAGGGCAAATAAGTGAGGTGGAAGCTGGCACGGGGGGAGGGGTACAACTCACCGAGAAGATAGACAACATCTTAAATTTCCTAATCATGGAGTTTCAAGATATATAAAGAAAAATCTGGTAGAAATAGTATGAAAAATAGACAAATTCACACCAACGTTGGGAGACTTTCATATATTTCTTAGAAATAAACCAATACTATAAAAAGAAAGGAATAGAGAGAAGTGTGAATAGAACAATTAGACATGTGCAATTTTGTGCCAAAAATACTCCATGGGGAGGGGGTGTCTAATATGCATTGCATGAAAATTATGCAGTGAACCACAGAAAATGTTAATACATTTTAAACAGCAGGAAAAAATGCAAGCCATGTTCTTTGGCCATTAACAAGAAAGGGGTAGTAATTTTTTTATGTATATGAAAACTCAATAACTATGGGGTTGAAGTAATCCAAATAGAAATCATAAACTAGTTAGAAGTGAAAGAAAATTAGAGCGCTACATATTAAAACTTGTGGCATATGGCCCAAGAAGCCATATGAGTGCGTTCAGAGTGCCAGGGTGGAGGAAGGGGTGGGGGGTACTGCTAGTTTAGAATGGGTGGTCAGGACTCTGAGCAGAAATCTGAACAAAGGTAGGCAGCAGCCACATGCTAAATGTAGGAGGAACAGTTTTTAGGTTGAAGAAATAGTAAGTGCAGAAGTCCTGTAGCAGGGACACACCTGGCATTGTCTAGGAAAAGCAAGAAGGAGCAGGGTGAATGATAAGAGGGCATATTAAAATAAGGAAGTCCAGGTCAGGTACAGAATCGCAGGTCTTTTATAGGACCTTGGCTTACTTTGACTAAGATAAGAAGCCACTGGATAGTTTTGATCAGACTTATGTTTTCAAAGTATCACTCCAACTTGCCTGTAAGGAAGAGATAAGGAGACAGTAACCTACAAAGGAGTTCCCATCAGACTGTCAGCTGATTTCTCAAAGGAGATCTTGTGGGCAAAAAGGGGCTAGAAAGAACTATTCCAAGTCATGAAAGGCAAGGACCTACATCCAAGATTGCTCTATCCAGCAAAGCTTTCATTTAGAATGGAAGGGTAGATAAAGTGCTTCTCAGATAAGGTCAAGTTAAAAGAGTTCATCATCACCAAGCCCTTATTTTATGAAATGTTATAGGGACTTATCTAAGAGAAAGAAGATAAAAAACACGTATAATAAAATGACAGCAAACTCACAATTATTAACAACCACACCTAAAATAAAAGCAAAAAAGCAAAAGCCAGCTAAGCAAACAACTAGAACAGGAACAGAACCACAGAACTGGAAATCACATGGAGGGTCAGCAACAGGAGAGTGGGAGGAGGAGAGAGGGGGAAAAGGTACCAAGAATAAGTAGAATATATAGGAGGTAGAAAATAGACAGGGGGAGGGCAGGTGTAGTATGGGAAATGTAGAAGCTAAAGAACTTATGACACATGGACATGAACAAAAGGAGGGGAGTGTGGGTGGGAGAGGGTGTGTAGGGTGGAGGGGAATGAAAGGGGGATAATGGGACAACTGTAATAGCATAATCAATAAAAATATATATATTTTTTAAGATTTTATTTATTTATTTTTAGAGAGGGAAGGGAGGGAGAGAGAGAGAGAGAGAAACATCAATGTGTGGTTGCTGGGGGCCGTGGCCTGCAACCCAGGTATGTGGCCTGACTGAGAATCGAACCTGCGACACTTTGGTTCGCAGCCCGCGCTCAATCCACTGAGCTACACCAGCCAGGGCCAATAAAATATATTTTAAAAAAAAAGAAAACTAAAACATAAAAATAAAACTACCTCTGGAGGAAAAAAAAAAGAAATCAGCTGAGAGTCTTATGGGAACTCCTTTGTAGGTAATTCTCCTTTTGTCTTGCTGCTTTTAAGATTCTCTCCTTATCTTTAATCTTGGCTAATGTAATTATGATGTATCTTGGTATGTTCCTCCTTGAGTCCAACTTCTTTGGGACTCTCTGAGCTTCTTGGACTTCCTGGAAGTCTATTTCTTTTGCCAGCTTGGGGAAGTTCTCTTTTGTTATTTGTTCAAATAACTTTTCTGCTTGTTGCTCTTCCTCTTCTCCTTCTGGTACCCTTATAATTCGGATGTTGGAACATTTAAAGATGTCCTGGAGGTTCCTAAGCTTCTCCTCAATTTTTTGAATTCTTGTATGTTCATTCTTTTCTGATTGGATCTTTCTTTCTTCCTTCTGGTCCACACCATTGATTTGAGTCCCAGTTTCCTTCTCGTCACTGTTGGTTTCCTGTACATTTTCCTTTATTTCACTTAGTGTAGCCTTCCTTTTTTCATCTAATTTTCTACCAAATTCAGCCAATTCTGTGAGCACCCTCATTACCAGTGTTTTGAACTGTGCATCTGATAGGTTGGCTACCTCTTTGTTGTTTAGTTGTATTTTTTCTGGAGCTTTGATCTGTTCTTTTGTTTGGGCCATTTTTTTTTTTTTTGTCTTGATGTGCCTGTTAAGTATGAGGGGCGGAGCCTTAGATGTTCACCAGGGCAGGGCAACCCCTTTCACTGCTTTGTAACACAGTATGTTGGGGAGGGGTCCAAGAGGGAACAATGGCGCTTGCTCTACTTTCTGCCGGATTTCAGTCATTTCTCTATCCAGCAAAGCAACCTGGATAGTGGCAGATTTCAATCATTTCTGCAACTTCCCCCAAGCAACCTGGGCCCTTCTGGTGCTGATTCCCAGGTTGGTGGGTTTGTGTATGTTCTAGGACCCTGTGGGTCTCTCCCACGAACTCTCCTGTGAGGCTGGGAGTTTCTTCCAGCACCTCAACCCTCACAGGTGTTTATAATCAGTGATTTGAGGCTTTATTTCCTTACACTGGGACACTGGGTTGTGCAATCTGTCTCACTCCCCAGTTTCACCTGGTTTATCTGCACACCAGTATGGGACTGCCCTGTCTGCCAGCCACCCTGCGCACCACACCCCATTCCACAATCTGCCACCTTGCTGGGTCCACCAGCCACTGCTTTGCTGCAAGTTCCTCTCCGCCTCTCATACAGGTCTGGATGAATGTGTCTTCTTTAACTCCTTGGTTGTCGGACTTCCATACAGTTCGATTTTCTGTCAGTTCTGGTTTTATTGTGTTTTTTTTTTTAATTGTTGTTGTCCTTATTTTGGTTGTACGAAAAGGCACAGTGTGTCTATCTACGCCTCCATCTTGGCCAGAAGTTGAAGTCCATGTTCTTAACCAATGCACAGTATTGTCAGTTACTGAGAGTGTACTCTGGGCCATGCCTTGGGCAGGATAGAGGAATCAATAAGATAGAGATCCTGTAATTCAGGAGTTTACCATCTAGTAGGAAAAGTGGCTGTGAGGGCACTTTTAGAATACGCCATAGAATCATGGTTCAGAAAGAACAGGGATAGAGGTGAGCCCAGAGAAGGACATGACTGACCCTCATTGGGCTAAGGGCTAGGCAGTCTGGAAGTGTCTCCAAGGAAATAGGGTTTATGCTTGGCCTTGAACATGGTTAGAACCCAGGTCTCCTGACTTAGCTCAGGGCTTTCTACTATAGTACAAAGAAAAGCAAACACAATACAAAATCCTAAAACCAAACCCTCAAAGCAGCACTATACAGTCACAGAGCAAACACTAGGTAAATGTTACTTGGATTCAAGTCTGAATTAGAAGGAATTTGTGAGGATGAAGAAATAATTTATAAGACTCCTTCAACTCCATATGAAACTTTCACGTATGTGTTTTTAAATTGAATTCCAAAATTCTTAGTGGATGGTAGATGACATACAAGTATAATTTATCAGTAACAACACTAACAAAAGTTATTTTACTCTTATTATTCTAAATGCTTTAACTGTTTTTAAAAATGTCCTACCTTCACTTTGGTTCCGATATTGATTCTTGCCTGTTGGCCCATTGCTAGGAAAGTGATTGAAATCTTGTCTTGTTCTAACATGCGAATTCCAACATAATGGTTCAAAGCCAGGAAGACAGGTTTAAATGAAACAAAGGGTGAGGAGGCAACAGAACTTGACCAATTCCAAGCCCTTATTCTGTTGCCGGCTTGATCTGAACATTGGCCTCCCAAGATGTTGATGTACATCCTGGGAAGAAAGGATATTAACAATCACAAACAGAAACATTGTAATTCAACTCTGAAATTCACCCTGACATTTGCTAACCAAGGGGAGTAGTAGTCTATGCTAGCCAATAGCCTATAAATGATAGAAAACCTCAGGTGATAAGACTGTGACAGAATTCTATACTAATTTGAAGTACTAAGTTTAATTCAAGACCTTCTGATAAACAAAAATGGGTCTCATGGATGGAACCAGGATGGTAAAGGCATCTGGAAAATGATGTGCTGGGAAGAAGGATGAAGCAGGGTTTTAGTCTGGACAAGAAGAAATACAGGAGAGTAGGCTATACGTGAAAGACGGGAAAAGACCAGTGCTTAGATTTTCACCAGGCCAAAAAGAAGACCAGGGAGTGTTTACTCTGGGGAAAGCCAATCTGGCCTCAGTACAAGTGTTTTCTAACAGCACTGGCACCTGGGAGCCAGGAAGCCTAGGAAGCCTCTCATCAGGGTCAGGTGTGGGCAGAAGAGGCTCAGGAGACATCTCTGAAATCACTATGGTGGATAAGGGCTCTATAACAGAGCAGAAAGTGGAACTTAGGTGAGCTGGGTTCCCCAGTCTTTTGGCATCACTAATGCCACACTTTACTGCAAACATACAAATTTAGCTCTGCACAGTCTGCAAGCTAGTAGCACTAATGACTCCCATTCCACTTAGTTGTATCCTCATACTCTCTCATCTTCCAGCTTGAATCACCATCCCTTTCTTCAGGAGACAGAATATGTAGAGTTCTGGTACACAGAAAGTTGACTTAATTTGATAATGAATTATTTTTTAAAAACTAGATTGACCCTGGCTAGTGTGGCTTAGTGGATTGAGTCCCAGCCTGTGTACCAAAGGGTCACTGGTTCAATTCCCAATCAGGACACATGCCTAGGTTGCGGGCCAGGTCTCCAGATGTGGGCATGCAAGAGGCAACCACACATTGATGTTTCTCTCCCTCTCTTTTTTTCTCCCTTTCTCTAAAAATAAATAAATAAAATCTTTTAAAAAGACTATCTCTTAATATACAACTGGCTTCAAAATTAAAAAAACAACAACAACTAGATGAGCTGGTGATGAGTGACTCTTAAGTAAAATCATTAACATCTTATTTTCCTACTTATAAGCAGTAGTACTCTAATAGCAAAAGTACAAATGAGAAATTGAGGTGATTATTTTATATAGCTGGGAAGTAGGATACAAAATTATCTGGATAAATTATTTATTTGATAAACATTCTTTGAGTCTATATCATATACAGATACATGCTATGTAGCAGCAAAGACCTGGGGTATGCATTCAGAGATCTTCAGTCCAGCAGTTCAGGTGGGCTTGTTTCACAAGAGGCAGCTAGAAGAAGTTAGGACCATATCAAGGAATTATGTCAGAGGGCCCAAGAGTTGAGATGGTGGTTCAGAGGGCTTTACTGTCAAGGAAAAGTCCTAGAAACTAATGAATATCTAGTGACAATTAATGTAGTGCCCCAACAAACGTAAAACAGAGTTGCTAGTGAGCAACTCTGAAGGATAAGTAAAAATTGTCCAATATACAAGGAGATAGTGGATTGATTACTGCATTGGACTACAAACAAAAATAGCTTTCTGTGTCCTAACTCTCTCAAGTTCTGACCATGTCAAACTTTCATGCAATTGGAAGAATTTCTCAAGATGAGACTGTTATACCTCTAAATAATGTAAAGAGAGAATAACTTTCTGAAGAGCTAAATTGTATTTGAAGTTAGAATCTAAATTTTACTTGCTCATAAATGAAGTAATGTGAAATCAGAGTAGATAAGTTAGTAGATAAAAATGGGATCAAAATCTTAATTTCTCTAGAGATTTTGTTTGTATGTTATTGCTGTTGGTTGTGGCTACAGGAACTTACTAGTTAGAAATATATCTCAAACAATGACAACTTAGTGTAGCACCTGTCCACTGTAAATTATTTCCTCAGATGAGGCAGTGTAATATTATTAGGACCCAAATTCTAGAGAGACCATATGAATTCATATTCCAAATCCCTAGGGTGACCATATAATTTATATAAAGTTTTTATAATATTGAAATTGTATACTTCATATTTTCTTTCTGTTTATATAAAGAATATGATGAACTTTGTTTTATAAATTTGCCTAGGATTTTTCCACTGAGAAGCACATGGAAAGGTATAAATCAAATATTTCTCTGAATTACAAATTACTATCTAAGGACCACTAACTTACAGAAATTTTCTTAAAGCCATTTTATCATTTAAAAGGAAAAACAAAACGTCATTATAAGATGAATAAGTTCTGGGGATCTAATGTAGAGCATAGTAATTATACTTAATAATACTATGTTATATTCATAAGTTTCTAACAGAATATACATTAATTGTTCTCAATACAAAAAAATGGTAATTAGGTGGCATGGTGCAGGTATTAGCTGTTGTGGTAATCATTTTGCAGTTTTTAAGTGTATTGAATCAACATGGTTGTACACCTTTAAATTAGACAACATTGTATGTCAATTATATCTCAGTAAAGTTGGAAAAAATGAAAGGAAAAATAAAATTTCTCAAACTCAAGAAACACAATGGCAGCAGGAGAAAACTTGAAGCCTACCAGACATTTCCATTGGGATGATAGCAGGAACTTCTGCCAAAAGAATTCAGCACTGCCAGGATGGCAGGGTTAGCGGGCATGTCGTCTTGGACTATACAAGTGAAGCCATCTGTCTTGTTGGGCACTCGGATGATGGCTAGGTTTCCAGATGGGTAGCTGGGATCAGATAAGGTCATTGTTCTAATGGTCTTTGATTATTCTGGGAATAAATTCAATTTATGAGAGAGTCCTTTGAAAATGTAAAGCATTCTGAAAAATGGGAAGTACTATTTTTTATTCTAAAAATATTATGCTTTTTATGTGGATCAAAATATATTTATAAGACACAAATAACCCTCAACATAATACTAGCAAATGTAGCATCATATAAAAAGGATTATGTACCATAACAAAATGGAATTTATCCCAGGAATGCAAGGTTGGTTTAACATTTGAAAATCAATTAATGAGATATACTGTATTGACAGAATAAAGAGCAAATAAGAAAACATAGTAAAGCCCTAACCATTGTGGCTCAGATGGTTGGGTGTTATCCCACAAAATGAAAGGTCACTGTTTTGATTCCTGGTCAGGGCACATGCCTCGGTTGCAGGCCTGGTCCCAATTTGGGGCATGTGGGATAGGCAACAGATTGACATTTCTTTCCCTCTCTGTCATAAATTCCCCTCTCTCTAAAAAATAAATAAATAAATAAATAAATAAATAAAATCAATCTCTAAAAAACTAAAGAAAACATAATAAAGACTCAGTGTTTTCCCTTTAAGATCAGGAACTAAACAAAAATGTCCACTCACCCCATTTCTATTCAACATTGCACTGGAGGGTCTAGTCACAGCAATTTTATCAAAGAGAAGAAATGAAAGGCATCCAGACTGAAAATGGAAGAAGTAAAACGATCCCTATTTTCAGAATGCATTCTCTTATACACAGAAAGTCCTAAGGAATCCACAAAACAATATATTAGAACAAATGAGTTTAGTAGTGTTGTTGGCTACAAGAGCAACATATAAAAATAAATGGTACACTTTACCAGTGAACATTCTGAAAGAAAAATTAAGAAAGCAATTTCATTTACATACCATCAAAAGGAATCAAATATACTGAGGATGATTTACTGACTGTTAATACTTAGTCCTATCTAAGCTCACCATAAGTCCAGTGATGAAGTAAACACAAGATTGATAATGAATCATTTTGAAAATGAGCCACAGAGTCTTCAAGAGTTAAGATTTAAAGTCAGGACATGAAGTGATAACTATCAATAATAATAAAAGTTGCAGCAGTTATTTAACAGTTTTTCATTGGGTGGTAAAATTTGGGGATAATATCTATTTTAAAAAAATTTTCTATGTATTTTTTCTTTATCTGTCTTTTTGGGAAGAAATAAAGCTAATGAAAGTAACTTGTTGCTAGGAAGGATACAATATTTGCGTTGTTCCATCTGGAAATGAAGTCAGAAACTTGCTCCCATGTTTGTAGTTCTTCTCCAAGAGCTCATTTCTCACAATCTATAAATTACACAAAATAAATGGACACTTACCAGTTAATTTTTAAAGATAGAATGCAGTAAGTATGACAACAGACATCCTTTGCTTGCTAGACAGTTATACAAACCACTTCTTAGTTTAAATGTTTTGTCCTACTTCAGCAATAGGGACAGTGCTTAGGAATTATTAAAAATTGGCCCTAAACCCTATAGATAAACTGATAAAACCTTCTAGCAAAAATCTTACATATCTGTTTGAAGAGGTTTTATTTTACTTTACACACATCACTGTAAAAAACAAAAGATAAAAATCAGCCCTGCTATAATGAAAATATTCTATATCTTGATTGTAGTGGTGGTTACATAACTGTCGAAATTCATACAGCTGCACATCCAAGGAAGATACATTTTTTTCTCTAGGTAAATTATACTTCAGTAAACTGACTTTATACCCCAGTAGCAGCTGCAGCATCTGGTGCCTCCTCAAGGTTGATCTTGAAGTTCATCTGACTACAATGCTAGTGGAGTATGAAAAGATGAAGAAAGAAATACAGGGAGCTATTCCTTATTTTATCTCCAAGTTTAACTCTCTTATAGGTAATACTTCATAGGGAGATGAAATGTCCCCCAACAATATTTAATAATAAAATAAAGATTCAACTTGATTGTATTTATTTTTAACCCTGAATTGTGATACAATGGATATAAGAATTCCCAGGGCTAGCCAGTGAAACAACCTAAATTTTAATATAAATGTTGCCATTTATTTTAGAAGATAATATATTTTTCACTTTTAAAAATTATTAAATATGGCCCTGGCTGGTGTGACTCAGTGGACTGAGTGCTGGCCTGTGAACCAAAGGGTCGCCAGTTTGATTCCCAGTCAGGGCACATGCCTGGGTTGCAGGCCAGGTTCTCAGTAGGGGGTGCCTGAGAGGCAACCACACATTAATGTTTCTCTCTCTTTCCCTCCCTTCCCCTCTCTCCAAAAAATAAAAAATAAAAATAATCTTAAAAATAAAAAATATTTTAAAGATGTTTCAAAACAATTATGAAATACATTCAGGTTAAGTGCTAAAACATGCTATTTTGTTAATCAGTAATTATAAACTCCTGCATTATCACCACCCAAGTCAAGAAAGAAAACAATGCTGATACTCTAGAAGCCCCCAGTATGTTTATCCCAAAGTCAGTATCCTTCGTAGACATAAGCACTACTCTGATTTCAAAGTAATTTCTTTGCTTTCATAATTTCTTTTTTTTTTTTAGATTGTATTTATTTATTTTTAGAGAGGGAAGGGCAGGAGAAAGAAAGGGAGAGAAACATCAATGTGTGGTTGCTTTTTGTACCCGCTACTGGGGACTGGGCCAGCAACCCAAGCATGTGCCCTGGCTGGGAATCGAACCAGTGACCCTTTGATTCACAGGCTGGCGCTCAATCCACTGAGCCACACCAGCCAGGGCTGCTGTCATAATTTCTAAGCAATATAGTTTAATTTTTCCCAGTTCGAACTTTACACAAATGGAATCATACATTATATATTTTTAATATTTTACTTTTCTGTCAACATTGTTTCATAAATGTCCAAGTATATAGCTGTGGTCCAATAACTTTCATGTATATGTTAGAAACAATGACACTATGAACATTCTTATGAATGTATGCTGATACTCAGTTCCCACAGATATTAAACACAGAGGTGGAATTTCTGAATCCCAAGATGATGCCAAAATGATTTCCAAGTCATACCAATTTACACTCCCACTAGAGGCAAATAATAGTGATTGTTGCTCTATATCCTTTCCAACACAGTTAACTTTTTTTTTTTTTTTTGCCAATATGGTAGGTATGTACTGATCTCTAATTGTGATTTTAATATTCCTTTCCCAGGTTACCAGTGAGGTTGAGCTCCTTTACATATGTTTATAGATCATTTGAATTTTCTCCTTTGAGAAGTATGAAAGGTTTTTGAGCCCATTTTCTATTAGGGGAAATTTTTTCCTTGTCTTTTTACATTTAGAATATAAGCTCTTTGTATGTCACATGTGCTAAAATTTTTACTTTCTTGATTGTCTTTCACAACTTTAATTCATCAGATCTTTTATGGATACTGCTCTTTTCATCAGTTAGTAAATCTTTCCCTACCCTGAGATAATAGAGCTATTCTCCTATGTAAAAGAAATCTTTGTAGTTTTGTATTTCACATTTCAGTGTTTAACCCACTTGGAATTGATTTTTACACCTGATGTGAATAGTGGTTCCAATTTCACTAAAAAATAAGGATAATTGACTCTCCTGGCACCAAGTATGGAGAAGATTTTTCTTCCTCCGTTATTTTGCAGTGCCACTGCTGTCATAAATCAGACGTTTATGTATGCATGAGTCTGCTTCTGGACTCCTTATTGTTTCTTTATTCTACCCGAACACTACACTGTCTCAATTACTGTATTTTGTAATAGATCTTAATATCTGGTAGAGCATGTTCCTCCCTCCCGGCCTTCTCCTGCTCAGGACTGTTTCTATTTTTATGTAAATTTTAGAATCAGATGAGGTCAGTATCCCTCTTTTCTCAGCATACATGAATATCCAATCCTGTTAGAATTTGAAATTTGGAAAATGTTATCTTTAAAATAGCTAATCTTCCAATACATGAACAAATTTGTTAAATGGGTTGTTCAAATATTCTATTTTATTATTGCTCCTTTTTGATCTAATAGTCTTCTCAATTGTGACAGAGGTTGGTAAAAGTATCTCATTATGATCATGGATTTAAAATTTTTTTTTTATTTCTATAAATTTTTTTACATACTTTGAGGCTATGTTAATATGGGAATATATTTTGTAATGTTATATCTTCCTGGTGGATTAAAACCTTTATCATTATGAAGTGATCCTTTTTATCTCTTATAATGTTCTTTAGCATTTTCATGATATATTATTTTTATTAATTTATATTTAATCTTTTTGTATCCTTATATTTTAGATGTATCTTTTATAAACAGTAAATGGTTGATTTTTTTTTAAATTGACAGTCTTTGTTAACTGAAGTATTTAGTCTATGGTATTTATATACAATTACTGACATTCCTTGATGTTTTCTATTTACCTCTTATTATCTGTTTTTCTTTTCTCTTATGCTTTCTTATCTTTTGGGGGCATTTAAAATAAATTATTCTATTTTTTGCCCTACTTCTACTAACAGGGGGGTTATGCTCTCTGCTTCTGTTATTTTTCTGGCTACTCTAGAAATCTCAGCAAGCAAAGTTAATTTATCAAAGTCTGAAGTTAAGCTTTGGACTAGCCATGCTCCCAATAAAGGACTTTAGAACACTGTAACTGGATTTAGCCTTCTTGCAAAATCAGGTACTATTTTGTCATTCATTTTTATTCTGTCCTGTTTTATGAAATTCCATGGTCCATTATTATTATTACTGTTTTATCAGTCAACTTTTAGTTTTATCCATATTTATCATATATATTTTCTTCGCTCTTCATCTTTCTTGAATATCAGACCATCCAGTTACACAAAGAACATTCTTTAGAATTTCCTTTATGAGGGACTACTAGTGACAAACTCTTTGTTCTTGCCAAACAATGTCATTTGGGAGCACATTTTCTTGACTTGATGCAGACTTCTAGATTGACTGTTACTTTCTCTCAGCACACTGAAGACATTTCATTGCCTTCTGGCTTCTGTTGTTGCTGTTAGGAGATGTTATGATTATAAAATTATTTTATGATCTTACTGTCCTCCTTTATATGTAAATGGGAGCTTTTTTTCTTCTGCTTTCAAGTTTTTCTTTCTTTGACACTGCAAAGTGTCTAGAAGTTACAAAAATAACCACCCTGCTTGGCATTCATTGGACTTCTTAAATCCATGGATTGGTCTCTTTTGTCAGTTCTGGAAAATTATCCATTATCTCTTCAAATATTACCTCTGCCTGATTATCTTTCTTCTCCCCTAGGATTTTGAATAAATACATTTCAGATCCCTCATTTTATTTTCAAATCATATACTCTCTTCAGTTTTCCTTACCTTTTTTTGTCCCCCTGGTGAATTTTAATAATTTTTTAACCCTTTTCCCAAGTCATTAGTTCTATCTTAGTTGGCTCTAACCTGTCTTTAACTCTTATCTTTTAAGGTTTTTTACTTCAGTTGTTGTTTTCATTTCTATAAGTTTATATTTTCTTTTCAAACCTGTATGTCATTTTATAGTTTTCTGTTCCCTCCAAATATCTTGAAGCCAATTATTTCTTTTTATAAAAATAGTTAACCCTGTGCCACTCAACTTTCCAGCCTACCCAAGCCGTTTCCAGTGGCTATTTCATATGAATGACCTGACTTGGTTCATGCTTCATACTTTCCTAACATCTCCCAAATAAGCTGCATCTGGCCTCAGCATGCCCTGTACCTCCCAGTAAGTGGCCCTGGGCCTGGCACTAGCAGCACCTGGCCTTGGTTCACAACTTTGCCTCACCTGGGCACATCTAACTTGGCACAAGTAGCAGCCATCTGAAGATCACTTTGTAGCTCATGCCAAGAGACCCCTGGCAGAGTACAGGTGGTGGCTGACCTTGGCCTATACCTCCTGGGAGGCCCCAGAGCCAGCACGCTCAGTCAGCAGCTTCAGACAACGTTGAAGCATTGCCACCCAACCACTTCTACAAGCAACACATTCAAGGGGCAGAATCAGTGGGCACCAGAACCCTCCTGAAGTAAGACCAGCTCTGTGAGGTGGGCCCCTGCACAGCTGATCCTCTGCCGTGGTCAGAGGTTGGTGGTGAGTGCTCTCAGCCCATTTTGTGGTTGATTAGCCTGGAGGTAGATCCCTTCCATTGGTGTGCCAGCAGCAATGAAGGCTCAACTACAGGAGAAAGGTATACACAGCCAACATGGTGGGTATGCCTTAAATGCCCAGCTTGGGTGATCAGGGAGGCTGTGCTACTGGGCCCTACAGAACACCTTCTATATTAAGCCATGCTACCAAGCCTGGGAGATGTAGCAGGCAGCTCTACCTAACATATAGAAACAAACATAGGAAGGATGCCAAAATGAGAAGACAAAGAAACATGGCCCTAATGAAAGAACAGAGCAAAACTCCAGAAAAAGAACTGAACAGAATGGAGACAAGCAACCTACCAGATGCAGAGTTCAAAAAACTTTATAAAAATTAGACCTTCAACAGCATAAAATGGACCAGTCAGAAATGAAGGATATATTAACTGAAATGAAGAATAATTTACACGAAATCAACAGTGGAGTAGATGAAGCCAAGAACCAAACCAGAATTTTGGAATATAAGGAAGCAAAAAAATACTCAATCAGAGCAGCAAGAAGAAAAAAGAATCCAAAAAAGTGAGGATAGGGTAAGGAGTCTCTAGGACAACTTCAAGTGTACCAACATTTGCATCATGGGATGCCAGATGGAGAAGAGAGAGAGCAGGAAATTGAAAACCTATCTGAAAAAATGACAGAAAACTTCCCTAACTTGGTGAAGGAAATGAACACACAGATCCAGGAAATGCAGAGTCCCAAACTAGAGGAACACAAAGAGGCCCACACCAAGACACATCATAACTAAAATGCCAAAGGTTAATGACGAAAAGTGAATCTTAAAAGCGGCAAGAGAGAAGCAGTTTAACTGCTTACAAGGGAGCTCCCATAAGACTGCTGGCTGATTTCTCAACAGAAGCTTTGCAGGCCAGAGGGATTGACAAGAAATATTCAAAGTGATGAATAGCAAGGACCTACAACCAAGATTACTCTGCCTAGCAAAGCTATTATTTAGAATCAAAGGAAAGATAAAGAGCTTTCCAGGCAAGAAAAATCTAAAGGAGTTCATCACCATCAAACCAGTAGTATATGAAGTAACAAAGGGTCTTATTTAAGAAGAAGAATAAAAAAATAAAAAATATGAAGAATGAAATGGCAATGCATACATATCTATCAACAATTATCTAAATAACTAAATAAATGAACACACAGAATAGAAACAGGCTCATAGACTCAGAAAACATTTTGACAGATGCCAGTTGGGAAGGGGGTTGGGTGATGGATGAAAAAGGTGAAGGGATTAGGAAGTACAAATTGGTTGTTACAGAATAGTCATGGGCATATAAAATACAGCATAGGGAATATAGTCAATAATATTCAAATAACTATGTATGGTGTCAGATGAGTGTAAGATTTATTGGGATGATCACCTAGTAAATTATACAATATCTACTCACTAGAGTATATACCTAAAACTAATATAATAATGTATGTCAACTATAAATGAAAATAAATAAACAAACAGATTACTTCAATTTCCAAAGTTTTTGGAGGTCTTTTCCTTTTGGATATTATTTCTCTGGATTTTTTTTATTGTGGCAGTGAGTTTCCTTTTGTCCTTGATTCTTTACATGTGTGCTGGTAATTAAATTTGAAGGATAATTTAGAGGAGTAATTGCAGGCTGGATGAGTAATCTTCCTCCAGACAGTGTTTGGATTTGATTTTGTCAGGCACCTCAGTACACTGCCATCCCTTACATTCTTGTCACCCAAGAGAAACAAACCAGGTCTCAATAATTTAATTTCAAGGAATCTATTCTGAGGATCTATACTTATATAAAAAATAAATCTGTACACAAAGATACTCAAAGCAATGTTATTTAGTATAGCAAAAAAAAATATGTTAACAACATGTATGTCCAATAATAAGGGAATGGTTAGATAAACTATATGAAAAAGCACATAGATATTAATGTTAATATAATCAATACAATATCATGGAAGTATTTTTATAACTTTACAAAGATAAAAATTATATCTGTAATAATAATTACAAGTATGTTAACAAAAACCTATGAATAAGAAAGTCTAGAATGATGTTGTCCAACAGAACTTTTAGTGACCACAAAAATGTTCTAGATCTGCCTTGCAACATGGTGGCATTAGTTACACATAGCTATTAAACATGTGACAGGTGGTTAGTGTGACTAAAAATTACATTTTAAATTTTATTTTAAATTTAGCCAAACATAATAGTTGATACTATATTGGCTAGTGCAGGTCTAGAAAATATTGAAATGTTAATGATTTTTGGTGATTTTTTTCCCTTTCTTTTTAGTTTTCAAAGGATTCCAAATGTTCCTTAATGTATTACTATCACATTTTAAAGTAAAAAGGTTTTAATGGACCTAGTCCCCCATAACACATATGTAAAATATTGTTGTAAAGTCTGGTAGAAGTTAAAAGACCAAGTCTATACCAATTCTTCTTGACAAATAGGTCAATGTGCCATGTACACAGGCTGCCATATTCATCACGACAGCTTTTATGATTTTAGGTAAAATAATTTTTTAAGAGTAGCAAGTAAACATATTACAAGCTAGTTACCTTTCCACATGCTTTCCTAGAATCACAACATGCAATGGACATGTTTCTTTTGTCTAGTTCAAAATCAAATAGTCTGTCTTCAACTACCTCTTGTTTTGGAATATCCACAGAAAGCTGATAAGAAATTGTTTTGAGATGTTTTGAATCTAATGGGAAAAGAATCACATGAAAGTACATATATGTTTTAAATTTTTCAAAACCACTATTCTAAAATGAAATTTTAAACTCTATTACAAACACATTGTTTTATCAGACTTGTTTTAATGGAATAAAAATGAGGACCTTTATTAAATTAGAGTGAAGACCTTCTTTTGTTAAAAAATTAATGAGACCATTCCTTCGTTAAAAGAAGGAAAAAGTGATCCTGGCTGGCATAGCTCAGTGGATTGAGCGTGGGCTGCGAACCAAAGCATCGCAGTTTCGATTCCCAGTCAGGGCACGCACCTGGGTTGCAGGTCACAGCCCCCAGCAACTGCATGTTGATGTTTCTCTCTCTCTCTCTTTCTCCCTGCCTTCCCTCTCTAAAAATAAATAAATAAAATCTTTTAAAAAAGAAGGAAAAAGTGATAATTTTAATTAAGTGCAATTTTCTGGCATTAGATTTAGTAGGAAACAGTTGAATATCAAGGAAATTTATATTAGAAATTTAGTTTAAAAAAGAAAACCAAAAAATGTATCTTCTCTAAGTATCTTTTTTCTTTCTTTATTTTTCATTGTTTATTCTATTATAGTTGTCCCAAGTTATTCCTTCTTGTCCCCCCTCCTCTAAGTATCTTTTCAATAACACTGAGTTGTAGAGGAGAAACTGATGCTCAAAAAGATTTAGTAATTTACCCAAAGCAGATAGCCTATAAGTAGAAAAGCAAGGCTATAAATTTAGAACTTCTGGATGGGAGTAAAAGATAGAAAATTGTACTGCCAACAACAATTAAAATAAAAAATATTTTAAAAAATTTCTCTGTGTATCTGACCTCATATAATCAAAGAGGCCACAAGAGTCTCCTGGTTTATTTGACAAATTAAAATTTTCAGAAAAATCCACACAAAAAAATCAGAACTTCTGGAACTGGAGACTATGATGCTAAATGAAATAAACCATTCGGTGAAGACAAATACCATATGATCTCACTTATAAGAAGAGCCTAATGAACAAAATTAACTAACGTGCAAAACAGAACCAGTGACATGTAAACATGGAAGAGGCTAGCAGAAGCTAGAGGAAAGGGTGGTGGGGGCAGGGAATGGTGGAAAGAAGGGGAAGGGATTAGTCAAAGGACATGTATGAATGACCCATGGACATGGACAACTGTGTGAGGATTGACTGGAAGTGCGGGTGGAGGGGGCTCGATCGAGGAGGGCAAAGGGAGAGAAACTGGGACAACTGTAAAAGAATAAGCAAGAATTAAAAAAAGGAAGTGAAATTTTTTAAAAAGCAGTGCCGTGGGTGTGGGGCGGGGGATAGAGGGAGGAAGAACTTCTGATTCTAAAGTCAGCACTCCTTCAATTGCACCAGTACTATAACTGCACTGGCCAGCACCTGTATATGAAGAAAGTAATCTAATTAACTTGGACAGATTTTCCATGCCCCAACCTAAAAATAAAATGGGATGTATGTTGAATAAAACAAGAAACAATGAACTCAAAAGCTCTTTGCAGTTATCTGTAAAGTGCTCTATAGATGTTGCTGATTTATTTTAATCAATAAGGAGATGAAGACTGAAAATTTCAAAAGCCAATGGAACACCAGATTTTCTGAGCCATTTTGACTAATACACTGACTATAATGAGAACTTTAAATGGAAACACTTTTAAGTGCTTTTTTTTTTAATATGCCAGTTTTAGATCTTGGCCAAACATATGAGTTTTCTGATGTACAACTGATCTATAACATGAATGTTGGTGAACTCACCTTCTTCAAAGAAGCCAGTGTGTTCATTTGTTTTTACTGTGAAATGTTTGGCCATTTTTTGCTCCTGTTTTCTACAAAATAAAAAAAGATGCATAAATATGAAATGTGTTTTAAGCTTAAAACACATACTACAAATTTTAACTGTTTAAGTGTCATCCCTTGTGATTTTTATTTGTTATTACTTGTGGCTCCTGTTATTTAATCACAGCACTTGGGTCTCTACTCTGTTTAGTGGAGAAATTTCTCCCGTATAGGAATTCTGAAATGAATCCTCAGAACTGGGTTGGTAAATTTCTACTTTAAATCAGTGGGTTCACTGAGTTTTAGAGAGCTTCTGAATTGCATAACATTCACCAGGAATGGTAATAGGTTTGCTTTGGCCAATTTGATTTCTTCACTGAGACTATATCTTTGAAATTATATATTTTGAAAAACAAGGTTCATTTTACAAAAAGCTCTCTAAGTGGACCTATCTGAGTTTCAATATCAAAGGCTCAATGTTACCTCCTCAGGGCTTTTTCCTTTGCTTTGAGTCTATCAATGTCAGTGCCGTGGGCTGCGTGAGGTTTGATACAGATTAATTCATCTTTACAGCTTTGGATTTTTAGTTTTTCCTCATACATGTAGTCAATCAGATTTTGGAAATAACTACAACAGGGGGCCTGAAAAACAAAGAGGTCATTTTTACCTCATTAGTCCTAGAATGAAGATAATTAGAGGGGATAAAAACCAAAAATGGCTTATGAGGTTTGAATTACCATCTATGGTAACTTTCTTGATAACAAACTAAAAAAATAATTCATATAACATACAATTCACACACTTAAAGTATGTAATTCAATTGATTTAGTATATACAGAGTTGTGTAATCATCCCCACAATTGGTTTTAGAACATGAAAACTGCCCATTAACAGTCACTCCCTACCCTCCTTTCCTCTCAGCCCCTGGCAACCACTAATCTATTTTCTGTCTCTATAGATGGTCTGTTCTGTATGCTTTATATAAATGGAATCATACAATATAGGATACTTTGTGATTGGCTTCTTTTACTTAGCATAATGTTTTCAAGTTTCATCTAGGTTGTAGCATGTATTAGTACTTCAATTCTTCTCATGACTGAATAATGTTTGATTTTATGAATATACCATATTCATCAGTTGACAGGCATTGGGTTGTTCTCACCCTTTAGCTGTTCTAAATCATGCTGTTGGGAATATTTGTATACAAGTGTTCATGTAGATGTATGTTGTCAATTTTTTGGGGAATGGAATTTTCTGGGAATGGAATTGCTGGGTTGCATGGTAATTATATGTTGAACTTTTTGAGGAACAACCAGACATTTTTGCCAACATGGCTGCACCATTTTATATTCCCCTTTAGCAGTATATGAAGGTTCCAGTTTCTCCATATCCTTGTCAAAACTTGCTATTATCTGTCTTTTTTTTTTATTATAGCCATCTTAGTGGGTGTGGAATGGTATCTCATTATGGTTATAATTTGTGTTTCCCAGACAGCTAACACAAAACTTAAGAATGGCAATACAGGGAAAAGATGCAGAAGAAAATACTACATATATTTAAAAGTGGTACTTAAAAATAACACTATTTCCTCAGGAATTCTGCTTTAGAACTTACATATTCTATTGGTTCAGAGCTACTGCAGTCAGCATAAATATCCACAATGGAAAGAAATGTTCTTAGATCACTCCCACAAAATTCACACTTGGGTAATATTTCCTCCTCTTCTTCCTTCAGAGAGAGAGAAAAAAATGAAGACCTGCCCATAAGAGCCTCTGAGAGCAGTTAGAGTCAGGGCTCTGGACAGGGCCAGAGAGCATCCAGTAGGACAGCAGGAGTGGTGGGGATGTGCAAACCTCCTTGAGAACTTCTGTCAGAAACCCTGAAGACTTCCAGGAGTAGTTGGTGGGAAACTTTCAGGAAGCTGAGGTCCTATACTAGAAGGTACCCAGCCAGCAAGATCTGCATATTCCAGAATGGAACATCACTTCTGTTTAAGAGTGGTGAGGACTGAGGACACTTGGGTGGTGTTTTCAGGGCCTCTGTCTGGTGGAGCTCACCAGAGCACAGCTGAGCCCATCGGGAGCTATGTGGGTCCTTCGGATGCCTTCTTAGTATGAGAAGAAACGATTGCAGAAATGATTGTTGACATCAGAATCCCTTGTTGTGGAGGAGGGATATACAGTGTGTAACTAGTTGCAAGAGACAGAAGATAACACATACCAGATTTTAGGAAAATGTTCTAAGGAGTTTGAATACCATCTTTCAAGAAGTGTCAGGTTAGCCAATATATCAAATGCATAGTTCAAAACACTCGAAATCAGAGTGCTCACAGAATTGGTTGAATATGGTCACAAATTAGAAGAAAAAATAAAGGCTATGCTAAATGAAATAAAGGAAAATGTACAGGGAACCAACAGTGACAGGAAGGAGACTGGGACTCAAATCAATGGTGTGGACCAGAAGGAAGAAAGAAACATTCAACCAAATCAGAATGAAGAAACAAGAATTCAAAAAAATGAGGAGAGGCTTAGGAACTTCCAGGACATCTTTAAACGTTCCAACATCCAAATTATAGGGGTACCAGAAAAAGAAGAGGAAGAGCAACAAGTGGAAAACTTATTGGAACAAATAATAAAGGAGAACTTCCCCAATCTGGCAAAGGAAATAGACTTCCAGGCAGTCCAGGAAGCTCAGAGAGTCCCAAAGAAGCTGGACCCAAGGAGGAACACAGCAAGGTACATCATAATTACATTAGCCAAGATTAAAGATAAGGAGAGAATCTTAAAAGCAGCAAGAGCAAAGGAGACAGTTATCTATAAAGGAGTGGCCATAAGACTCTCAGCTGATTTCTCAAAAGAAATCTTGCAGGCAAGAAGGGGCTAGAAAGAAGTATTCCAAGTCATGAAAGGCAAGGACCTCCATCCAAGATTACTCTATCCAGCAAAGCTATCATATAGAATGGAAGGGCAGATAAAGTGCTTCTCTGATAAGGTCAAGTTCAAGGAGTTCATCATCACCAAGCCCGTATTATATGAAATGTTAAAGGGATTTATCTAAGAAAAAGAAGATCAAAACTATGAACAGTAAAATGACAGCAAACTTACAGTTATTAACAACCACACCTAAAACAAAAGCAAAAACAAACGAAGCAAACAACTAGAACAGGAACAGAACCACAGAAATGGAGATGCATGGAGGGTTATGAGCGGAGGAGTGGAAGGGGGAGAGAGGGAGAAAGGGTACAGAGAATAAGTAGCATAAATGGTAGGTAGAAAATAGACAGGGGGAGGTTAAGAATAGTACAGGAAATATAGAAGCCAAAGAACTTATAAGTATGACCCATGGACACGAACTAAAGTGGGGGAATGTGGGTGGGAGAAGGTGTGCAGTATGGAGGGGAATAAAGAGGGGGTTATGGGACAACTGTAATAGCATAACCAATAAAATATATTTTAAAAGAAGTGTCAGGTTAAAAAAAAATCTTCCCATTACTATGTAGGCCACCATTAAAATGATCAACTTTCTAAATTAGAGTTTTTCTCAAGAGGAAGCCCAGGTTGAGGCCCTAAATTCTGTCTGGGCTATGAAGGTAATTGAGGAGGAGGACAGCCAGACCAGGGGAAGCAAAAGGGAGACCTGGAGTGAGAAGTTCAGGTGACTCAGTGAGGGTTTGAGGGGCCATGGCCATGTTGGCAATTTGAGGGCATGATGGCAAGGAGGCAAGCCTAAGCAGAGGCCTGCAGGAAAAGACTGAGATCCTGGCTTATAGGTCATGAACGCCACCAGGGCATCTGCGGTTACCATAGAAACCATTCTCTGGGACTGGCAAGGTGGCCATCGTGGGTCCAAAGTGTAACTCAGGTACCCGTGCCATCAGGGATTTACCACCTGAGAGTTCTGTCCAATCCCTTTAGCCCACTGAAACTACAAAATAATATATCCGAAAGCAGAAGACTTAGGGAGTGGCAAGGTAAAGCCTTGTAATAGAAAGATGGTGGTGTAAAACCTCGGATGGCCACCAGATGATGGGACAAGGCAAAGGACAGCTGACAAAGCTAGGCCATCTATAACCTGTTCTTCACAATAGTCTGGGTAGTGGGCTCCTCAGCTCAAGGTCCCTTTACCCCTTTACCTGGAGTCAAGCAAGGTGGAGATGCTTCAAAAGACCATGAGTTGGGTTGTAATCTGCACTTGAAGAGGGTATGGCTGTAGAGAAAGGCAGGCAAGCCAGCTGTTACTGCCCCTCAACTAACTAGTGTTAAAGCCCCATCACAGAGGACCTGGAAGGTCTGTCCAAAGAGCAGGAGGAGCCAGTGTTCCCAGATGCTAGTGCAGGGACTGGTCCCTGGAAGAAAGGGCACATGGCCTTCCTCATGTTCAGGCCCATCTCTGTGTGTCAGGGAAGAAACTCCCCTGGATACAAGCCTTTGTGGTTCGGAAGAAGGAAGGTGCTATGTCTGAACAAGAAATTTGAACTCAAAGAGTCAACAGGGTGACTAAGCCATTGAGAGACCTGGGCTAAATAAACACAGTCCGTGTTGACTGATAGGAAATGACATGATATATTTAATGTGTTGCCCCTCATTGAACTGCACAGTTCGATGTGCTGCACAAAACGGTGAGTACCACACTAGGGCATCAGCGTAGCATTGCCCTGAACTCCTGCACATGCCTCCGCAATGTGCTGTCTCGCATGACTGTCTCTTGTTTTCAGTGAAAAACCCTGCACCTTTAATGCACATGGGAAAAGTAACCAAAGGGGACTGGGGGCTGCACTGTTCTCTCCACATGGCCATAATACCCAAGTTTGGAAGTAATCATTCCACCAGTCAGCACCTCACTGCCCTGGTGATGCAGAATTGTGTGCCATCCTGTTGGAATTACTAAGGTGAACTTTTCCTTGCCCATCAAGCACAGGCATTAATTGGTCACTTAACATGATCAAATATGGCAAACCTATATTTTACCTATGTTTCCAGGTTTTATGACCACAGTTATAGGTTGAATTGTGTCCTACCAAAAGGTATATTAAAGTCCTAACTGCTGATACCTATGAATGTGGCTTTATTTAGAAATGGGGTCTTTGCAGATGTAATCAAGTTTAGATGAGGTCATTAGGGTGTGCTCTAATCCAACATGACTGGTATCCTTGGAGAAGAGAGACATTTGGACACAGACACACACAGAACACCAGGACAACTTTGACAGACTGGGGTGATGCGGCTACAAGCCAAGGAATAAGGACTGACAACTACAACCAGAAGCTACGAGGAGGCAAGAAAGGATTCTTTCCTACAGGATGGACTTGCTGACTCCTTCATTTTGACCTTCAGAACTGTAAGACAATACGTTTTTGTCATTTTAAGCCACCTAGTTTGTGGTACTTTGTTACAGCAACCCTAGGAAACTAATACAGCCATCCTAAGAGCTATTTCAAGCCATCCTGAGTGCTATTTCAAGTAAATGGGTTTTGCCTATTTTTTATGTATGTTCACTGTCTTTTGTGCAAATCATCAAGTGACTTTTATCATCATTTATTGCAGTAAAGAAAAAAGAAAAGAAAATCACCTCAAAGTCAGTGCCGAAGTCAAAACTCTCTCGTTTGAATGCCAGAAAGGGTGGCGGCCCAATGCTGGGTAACGTTCTTAGAGAAGGCTCAAATAGTGTTATGAAGTCTTCCTTAAACTAAATTGTAGAGAGGGAGACAGAAAGCGAAAATTAAAGATTGACTATGTGATCTTTACCACGAGCACAGTTTACTAGTTGGACTGATAAACATTTCTTACCTCCAGCTCACATAAAATAGTTAGTTCTGGCTCTTCTGGATTAATTACCCATTTTTCTGAAGAGAAAAGGATAGATTTAGGAGGAAAGTTGAAAGGCTTGTGCAGTGTATCCCATTTTCTCTAGTTTGGAGATCCCGGCCCATCACACACACACAGACACACACGTGTACATGCATGCACACTGTTTAAATGCCCTGAACCCCTAGTTTTTACCAGCTTCTTGCATATATTCTTAGGGGAAGGCTTTTCTTTCTTTAAAAAAAAAGATTTTATTATTTACTTTTAGAGAGAGGGGAAGGGAGGGAGAAAGAGAGAGAGAGAGAAACATTGATATGAAAAAGAAACATGAATTGATTGCCTCTCACATGCACCACGACTGGGGATGGAACTTGAAACCCAGGCCTGTGCCCTGACCACGAATCAAACCAGCAACCTTTGGCTTCTCAGGTCATGACCAACTGAGCCACAGTGGTGAGGGCAAGGGAGGAATTTTCTAAAGGGCATGGGCACCATCCAAGTTAAGGCTGGTTCCCTAGTAGCAGTTTGCCTTTGCCAGCAAAGGGGATAACTCCAAACATCCACTTACCTCTTATTAACTTAGCTTTCTTTTTACGTTTAGTTTCCTTCAGTGCAGAGGGTGTTTTTGTTCCTATAGAAAGAGTATACATTTACCATTAATCATGACAAAGTAGGAAAGAAGTGTAACATAAAAAAAATATGTCTCTTAGAAAAATAAGTACCCTTATGGTGTTTATGTTAATTTTTTTTTGCCTTTTTCTAAATGTAATTTTATCAGCAATGAGAAGCAAATAGAGAAAAGCCACGACTCCAATGTCTCACACTTAAAAATGTTCCTGTTCCTCTCTAGTACTGGAATACTACACAGATGTATCTTTTACTTGATTATAATCATGTTTTGCAGTCCCTGTTATTTTCTGCTTCTTTTAAGTACTATTCTATCTACTTCATGTCTGCTATTCTATAAAAGATTTTTCAGGTAGGTAGGTGCTGGGTGGGGAGTGGGGTTCAAGTTCAACACAGTGAACTAAAGCACCAGGATTATTTCCTCCACAGATTCCAGGGCAGTACTGGAAATGGGGAAGGCAGCTATCAACACACCAGCAACTTTGAGTAAATCTAGAGGTTTAAGCAAATCTAGAAGTTTAAGCATATAGGATTAGAATGATGAAAAATCAATCAGAACGATCTGAGTCACTCAGAGGTAAAGGGAGGAGGCTGACCCACTTTGTAGCAGAGCGTGGGGCAGTAAAGACTGCTATAGGAGAAAGAGATACGTTTAGACATACTTTCTATGTGGAGTATCTGGAAAAATTTTAAATATGTTTTAGGCATTTTGTCCAACAGAAATGCAAGCACTGGTACAGTAAGATCTTAAATGTCATCAACAGGTTCTGCAACTTTAAGTGGAATGACCTCTAATGAAATTAATTTTACCACTGGCTAATTGGTACATAAGAAGTAAGTGTTTATGATATCTCCTCAACATTATAATAAAATGACATTATTTAAGGACCTGATGTATAAAAAAATTAATGCACAAAGATTTCCATTAAGGCATTATTTGCTATTGGGAAGAGCTCAAAGAACCAAACCAAACCAAACCAAACAGGCACTAAAATATCTTGCAATCAGATTTATTACGTAAGTCACAATAACTGCATATATGGTAATACTTATCAATTTTTCCTGGCTGCTAAGTAAAAATATTAAATAAGAAATAAAACTGCTGTTATTCACAGAAAATATAATTATCTAATCGACTTTCAACTGACAAATTTTTAGAATTAATAAGAGGGTCAGAAATGCAAGAATAATACATAGAAATCAACAGTTTTCCCATAGAGTTACATTACCAATTAGAAAATACAATGGAAAAAAAAAGATTGCAATTGTTACATCAATAAAAAAAGACTGAAAAGCACCTAGGAATAAATTAATAAGAGATGCATATGAATCCCCTATGAATAAAAAACTACAAAAGAATATTTATTTTTTTTAAATGGACAGGCATACTAGATTGCTGCTGTTAAAACAATCAAACAAGGAGGTCATTAGAGGCAGCTCCAGTGCCTAGGTGTCTCCTGTGTAAGCAAACTGCCATGTAAGCCAGAGTCAGCTCCTGTAAATGCTTCAGGGTTACAGCCAATCACAAATAGTCAACTAGTCTTCTCCAAATAATGTAACCTCTGAAGCTGTAGCCAGTCAAACAATTTCCTTGCTTTACTCCCTTGTCTTCTCTATAAAAACCTCTCCCAAAGCTTTTGTGGGTGGTATGCTCCTAAACACTTGTGGTCTGATGCTGCACAATTCGAATGAATGTTTGCTCAAAGAAACTCTTAAACATTTGAAAATACCTCAATTTGCCTTTTAACACTGCCAAACAAGATCAAAGAATCAACTTGTCAAAATCCAATGAAAAATCCGATCAGAATTACATGGGCTGAAAATCTGATCAGAAATTACATTTTCTTAATTTACATAGAAATTAATTTGGCGATGATTAACATCTTTCTTTTAAATATTTGGTCCATTTTTACATGAGATTGTGTCACTCCTTTGTGCAACCCTCCAGCGACTTCCTACTCATTCCCATGGGAAAAGATATGGTCCTCACTGTGTCTTTGACCTTGTCCCCTAAGATTCTTCTCCTTACTTGCTCCACTGCTGCCACACAGGACGCTTCCTTGTTCTAGAAGGAGGCACTTACTGTTTCCTATGCTTGCAGCACTCTTCCCCCAGAGATCCTCGTGGCTCACTCTCTCACCTGCTTGAGGTCTGCTCAGATATTTTAGCTTCTCAGTAAGATTTCCCTGAGTGCCCTGTGCAAGCGTGCACCCCCCACATCCAACATTTTTCATCCCTTTACTTGCTTGATTTTCCTCTTTTTTGCACTTACATCACCTGACAGAGTATATATTTATTTATTTGGTGTGTTATTTATCTCACCATTACTTCCAATTTCCACATTTCAATAGAAGATCATTGAGGCAGTGGTTTTACTTGTTTTGTTCACTGCTGTGTTGCTGGAACAGGGTTTGGTCTATAAGAGGTGTTTTGACGTATGGTAGGTGCTCAACAAGCACCTGGTTAATAAGGATATAACAAAACAAAAAACTTGAAAGAAAAGGCTATTCACAAAGATTATTTCTGAGGAGTATATTGTGATAAGTTAAAATTTAAATTTTTACATTATGTATTTCTTAATGGTTTGAACATTTAAAAAACAGCATGCATATGTTGCTTCTATAATAAAAAGTAAAGATATATACCAAGATATAATGGCAGATTATTTCTTGGTGTGAACATAAATGCTATCATTGATTAAAGAATAAGTGCCAGTCCTGGGACAGCAGTATTATTATTGCCAACACGTGAAGAAACTGAGACTGAATGAGGTTAAGTATTTTCCTCAGTCATCACAATGTTAGTGTTGGGACTGGGATTCAAACCTGCATCTACCGATTGCCTACACAGTGTTCTTTCCAATGTGCCATCCCATCACCCAGCAAAAGCTAAGACATCAAACTACTCACCAGACTTCTTTTTGTTGGACAAATCTTGAAGCCAACTCTCGTCTGTTTGAACTGATATTGGGGCTCCTGGATACAAACCGCCAGAGATTGTCCTGAAATTTAGACAAAACATTTTTGTTGAGTATACCTCTATAGTTGTTAGCAGTTCTTCTGAATATAATACACTTAATAATCAAATTAAAAATGTACATAGAAGATCCTGAATTCTATTTTCTTTGAAATATTTTCTTCCATTTTTATCTCGTTAGTAAAGTCAGGCGCACTGTGTTTGCATCACATCTGTTCTTTAGAAAGTACTCCTTTCTAAGTCCTGGGGGCTGTCAATACCTTATTTCCCTCAAGGACTAAATTACTACCACTCTCTCTGTGTGTGCATGCTGCTAGTGGTGTGTATGTTTAAACATTCCCTTGAATTTAAATTTAAATGAATTTAAATGAGAACATACTATTCATTTTGAATAGCCTAAAAATAATCCATACTCTTTTTAAAGGCTGAAGTTAAATGCATTGTAATTGAATAATCTGCTTTCTATGAGTAGTTTAACCAGTTACTTGAGTTATCATTGACAGGACAAGTAAGCAGGAATTTATTGACTCTTACTGTTAAAATGACTGTTACTGGTGACAAATAAACAATAATTATTGTTTTTCAAGTTCCTTTGCCTCCCTGAATTTCATTTCTTGTAATAATTTGGGGCATCTTCCAAAATTATCAAACAAAAAATTTCTAAAAAGTTTAGTCAATGTTAGGATTGTCCCTCTTTCATATTTCTCTGTTCTCTTAGGTCTCCACCTTCCTTTTTTGATGGCTGTCCCTTGGCACAGTCCATCAGTGGGGGGTTTTGTTTTAATTCTGAAATGACTGTGTCCTGTCATGGTGAAGGACTCCTTTGCAGAAGCTGGCTGTGCAAGTGTCTGCAGAAGCTCCGTTTATCTAACCTCCTGTGAAAACAAGTTATGGGGACTAAGAGTACAGGCACACTGAAGAGCAAGCCCTTGACAATATTTAATACTTGGATTTTTTCCAATGCCACAGTTAACAAAATCAATACATTCTTCATCTAGGTCTCATTCCCTGCCTTAAACCAACTCCAAAGAATGTTTCTGAAATCCTGTGTCAAGATGGAAGACCACCAAAGGTAATAATGAAATTAACATTTTCTGAGAACTTACAGTGATTACATACATAGTAGTTACTTTCTCACATTATTTCATCTATCTTTGCAAAAAAACAATCAAAGCAGGTATTAGTATCCCTTTCTACAGGTCAGGAAACTGAGGCTCCAGGGAACCTCTCAGAAATGATGTGCAGCAGGGGGCAGATAGGGGTCCAGACCTGTTTGGCTCCCAAACTTGTAGTATTCCACATTTATCTGCTCCTAAAGCTTTTCCCATTTTCAACCTGAATAGTAATAGGGCCATTAAAGATAGAAGTTGAGCCAATATTAGTGACATTTTTATGGCTTTTTAGCACAGATTGCCTTAAAAATACAATCTCACCAAATTCACCAGAGAATACTTTGAAATATTGAAGAAGCATTTTCTTAGGAAGATTTATGAGAGGGAATTAAGATTTGATCTGGGAAAGAGCTTCCCATGTAGGAAGTCCAGGTCAAGACAGCTCCTGTGTGCACAATTTTGCCCCTCCTTTCTGAGATGACAAATACTTAAAAGCAAACAAAAAAAAAATGGCCTTGGGAAACAAGAAAGATGTCCTCAGTAGACAAGTAATAATATTGAAGAAGTCCTTGTAAGAAAGCAAATAGCCTGAGTTAGCCTGAGGTAGATGGAAAACCAGAGCAGAGAACACCACAGCTCAAGACAAAAGAGGTAAGTTCTTCTGAAGGAATTCCCAAGAAGCTCCTAGCTCAGACTTGGCCAAATGCAGCGAGGGAATAGGACCTGTCATTAAAGTTCAAGGAGTGACCTTGGAAGAGCTGGCCAGGCAGACTCCTTCTCTTCCCTTATACAGATCATTTGGCAGAAGTTACTTAAATTTCCAGATGAAGCCCAAAGAACTGCTTTCTAAAAATTAATGAGCAGCCTGCCTGAGTGGGGTTTAGGCCTGAAAGAGAAGCAGAGTACAGTATGAGGTTACTTAGAACCTGCTCAACAGGCTTGGGTGAAAGGACAGGCACATTCTACACATGAAGAACTCTAACCACACAGTAAATTGTCCTTATTGTAACTCTAGTAATAGTGAAGTTGCCCATCTTGTTGCTTCCTGCCGACACTCCACAGGAAGCTGGCTCTGACAAAAGTCACCCACCTACATAGGACTCACAGTCAAACTTCCTTCCGCATGCCCTGTTAAAACATAACTACTCAGCAGCAGAACTTCATTTTAGCTACCTAACAGTTATTAATTGATAAATATAAATGAATAACCAAGGATTACCAGTCACTTAAGGACAATCAGAGGCATGGAAGAGGAAGGACCAAGATAAACAAACAGAATAACTGATCCTGACAGAAAAAAAGAATATAAAAAACCCCTAAAGAATTTTAGTACATTGTAAAGTACCCTTAAAGACATTTTTAAAAACCCACACAACTATTTGAACACCAACAGAGAATGAGAATTTGTTTTTGGAAATGACAAATATGTATCCTGAAATAAATTCTGTACAAGGGGTGCATAGTAGTAGCATGTAAACACCTAAAATCTTGAAGATATTCAAGAAGCCCAAAAGCCATTCTTTAGGAGTTGTGAAAGAAAGAACAGAGGCAGTGAAGGGAAGGAAATAAGCAAGTACCAGAAGGATTTGAATATCCCTGATCAGCAATACTGGATACTAGAATGCAATGAAGCAATCAATGTTTTTAGAGTGCTGAGGGAAATTGGTTTTAAACTGTTGGTTTTTGCCAGGTTATCTGACTAATAAAGTATGAGGCACAATGAAGAAATTTCAGGCCCTGGATGGTGTAGCTCAGTGGATTGAGCATGGGCTGCGAACCAAAGTGTCGCAGATTCGATTCCCAGACAGGGCACATGCCTGGGTTGCAGGCCATGACCCCCAGCAACCGCACATTGATGTTTCTCTCTCGCTCTCTTTCTCTGTCCCTTCCCTTTCTGATAAATAAATAAATAAATAAAATCTTTAAAAAAAAAAGAAATTTCAGAACAGGCAAGGACTCAGAAATTTGACTTCCCATGAGATCTGCATGAAAAAATTACCTGAGGAGTTTCTCCTGCAAAAAAAAAGAAAAGAAAAAGGAATGACAAAGAAGGCAGTATCAGAATCACGAGTGAAGCCACTGAGCTCTACTAAGAAAAACTGAAGACAACTAAAAATAGCTAAGAGTTGGAAAGTTCATCTTTTAGGAGCCAGATTTTATGAACCGAGGGTTTCATTTTCTGATACATAAATCCAGTCACATTATTAGATCTTAGCATGAAATTATGAGTATTATTTTTTGATTTCCAATTTTTTAAATCAACCTGTACCCAGTGCACTGAGTTAATTATAATTACAAAATATAATGCAAACATAATAAAGGTTGGCAAAGCAATATGACTATATAAATATATAAGTTTTAATATAATTTGCTATATAACTTGTTAACTTGGGGAGGAAAAGGTGAGAGAAGAGATGGAAGGAAGTAGATGTGCATTAATGTGTTAATTTTTCATAAGTTAATGTGTTATTTTTCATAAGTTAATGTCACTAAAATGGACAAATCAAGAAGTAAAGGTTTAAATACTTTAAAGTCTCAAAGATAGAAAAACTAAAAATAATATAACTACCAAAAAACAGAGAGGAGGGAAGTACTATAAGTTACATTTGTCATCTTCCATGGTGGGAAGTCAGTAGTTATGAGACAAATCAAGAAATAAAAATATGCTATTTAAAATTATACTGGAAATAAACTGTTAACAATTTGTTGGTGCTGATGAGGAAGAGTGGGGGGGTTGAGAATAGGTATGAAGATTTTATGTTTTGTACCACTGTATACTTTTATATCTTAACATTGTACATATATTATCTTTTATTAAAATGTGGAAGTCAGATGATAAATAGAAACATTTTTTAAAAATATATTTTATTGGTTATGCTATTACAGTTGTCCCATTCCCCCTACACTCCCCTCCACCCTGCACACCCCCTCCCACCCACATTCCCCACCTTTAGTTCATGCCCATGTGTCATAAGTTCTTTAGCTTCTACATTTCTCATACTATTCTTACCCTCCTCCTGTCTATTTTCTACCTACCATCTATGCTACTTATTCTGAGTACCTTTCCCCCGTCTCTCCCCCTCCCACTCCCCTGTTGATAACCCTCTGTGTGATCTCCAGTTCTGTGGTTCTGTCCTGTTCTAGTTGTTTGCTTAGTTGGCTTTTGTTTTAGGTGTGGTTGTTACTGTGAGTTTGCTGTCATTTTACTGTTCATATTTTTGATCATCTTTTTCTTAGATAAGTCCCTTTAACATTTCATAAAATAAGGGCTTGGTGATGATGAACTCCTTTAATTTGACCTTATCTGAGAAGCACTTTATCTGCCCTTCCATTCTAAATTAAAGCTTTGCTGGATAGAGCAATCTTGGATGGAGGTCCTTGCCTTTCATGACTTGGAATATTTCTTTCCAGTTCCTTCCTGCCTGTAAAGTTTCTTTTGAGAAATCAGCTGACAGTCTGATGGAACTCTTTTGTAGGTAACTCTCTCCTTCTCTCTTGCTGCTTCTAGGATTCTCTCCTTCATTTTAATCTTGGCTAGTGTAATTATGATGTGCCTTGGTGTGTTCCTCCTTGTTTCCAGCTTCTTTGGCGGCTCTCTGAGCTTCCTGGACTTTCTGGAAGTCTATTTCTTTTGCCAGAATGGGAAAGTTCTCCTTTATTATTTGTTCAAATAACATTTCCACTTGTTGCTCTTCCTCTTCTTTTTCTGGTACCCCTATAATTCAGATGTTGGAACATTTAAAGATGTCCTGGAGGTTCCTAAGCCTCTCCTCATTTTTTTGAATTCTTGTTTCTTCATTTTTTTTCTGATTGGATGTTTCTTCCTTCTGGCCCACTCCATTGATTTGAATCCCAGTTTCCTTCTCATCACTATTGGTTCCCTGTACATTTTCCTTTATTTCACTTAGTGTAGCCTTCATTTTTTCATCTAATTTGTGACCAAATTTAACCAGTCTGTGACCATCCTGATCACCAGAGCTTTGAACTGTGCATCTGATAGGTTGGCTATCTCTTCATCACTTAATTGTATTTTTTCTGAGGCTTTGATCTGTTCTTTCATTTGGATCCCCCCCCCTTCTTTTTTGTCTTGATGTGCCTGTTATATAGCGAGGGGCAGAGTGTTAGGTGTTCATCCAGGTGGGGCAACTCATGTCCCTTTGTGACGCTGTATGCGGGAGAGGGGTCCGAGAAGGAACAATGGCACTTGCTCCACTCTCTACTGGATTCCAGTCATTTCTGCCACTTCCCCCAAGTGAACTGGGCCCTTCTGGTGCTGATTCCCAGGTCGGTGGGTTTGTGTATGTTCTAGGACCCTGTGGGTCTGTCCAATGAACTCTCCTGTGAGGCTGGGAGTTTCTTCCAGCACCTCAACCCCCACAGGTGTTTACAATCAGTGATTTGGGCCTTTATTTCCCCGCGCTGTGACCCTGGGTTGTGCGGTCTGTCTCACTCCCCAGTTTCACCTGGTTTATCTGTGTGTGAATGTGGGATCACCCAGCTCCGCAGCCACCTTGCACGCCAAGCCCCTCCACAATCTGCAGCCTTGCTGGGTCTGCCCACTGCCACCTTGCATGCCTGGGGTCCACCAGCTGCTACTCTGTGCACCCAGGGTCTGCCAGCCACTGCTTTTTTGCCACGACCCATTTCCACCCCACCGCCTGACTCCGCCCCTCTTACAGGTCTGGATGAATATGTCTATTTTAACTCCTTGGTTGCCAGACTTCCATACAGTTCAATTTTCTGTCAGTACTGGTTGCTATTTTGTTTCTAAATTTTCATTGTCCTTATTTTGGTTGTGCGAGGAGGCACAGTGTGTCTACCTACACCTCTATCTTGGCTGGATGTCTGATAAATAGAAACATTTAAGTGGAACAGAACAATTCTTTTTATGCTTAAAAATTTAAAAGTTGCTTGTAAAAAGCAAAATTTAGGTGAACAGTAATTCAAGACTGTAGACTCAGATTTGGTGTGAGATTTCAGGGGAAGATTATAAAGATATTCTAAAAGGTGTTTCTCTGGTGTCTTCTTATTATAAGGTACTTGAAGGCTAATAGCAACAACAAGAAAAAGAAAAATCATAATTTTCACTCCCTTCCACAGGTGTCCCTGATCACTCTCAAATTTAGCCAATAGAGACTTATGTCTTGAACGCTCATAGTATTTGCACGTGGCATTCACTTATTATTTCAAGATATTAAGATGTGCATATGCCATCTCTACAGGTAGGCGATAAGTTGGAGGTGGGCAGGGACCTTGTCTCTACCTCCTCTAAAGTGTCTAACAGTCTAAATTTTAAAAAAAAAAAATTTAATAAATTAGTTGTAAATACCTTGAATGATTTTACTCTACTTTCTGACATGTTTACTCAAAAATTAAATATAATCAACTTCAAAAATAATGTGAAAACTGAAAACATTCTCTTACCTATCTAAACTTGTTTCAGATGTGTCTCTCCTAAACGTCTGGAATATCTTAGGAAAATCTGTTGAATGAAACATTAAAAATTTTAGCCCTTCCCTCTATATCAGCAGTTCTCAGAAAGATAATTTTGCCCTCCAGGAAGTGCTTGGTAACATCTGAAGACATTTTTGATTGTCACACAATGGGGTTAGTGCTAATGGCATAGCCAGGGCTAGAGGCCAGCGGCGCTGCTAAACATCCTAAATTGCAGAGGACAGCCCTGTCCCCTAATCCTGCCCCAATGAAGAATCATCCAGACCAAAATGTTTTAAAGGAAGTGACTGGAGTGGTTTCAGTACATGAAGTTAAACACAAAGGTAACTTGTTTTTTGCAGGACTGTTTTTAGTAATACAGCACCCTTAAGGCACTACTCCTCCAGGAGTGGCACGTGCTTGTGTGTGAGAGAGAGGGAGAAATCAAGAGTGAGAGATAATACTATCATTGTGTATGCACGCAGAAGTAGCACTACCTATGGCTCTGCCTAAATTGCCAGTTTTACAAGGCGTTCACCTATATCCTATATTGTGTAAGTTCCACTCAGCCAAGATTTCAGTGCCTTTGACAGAAGGGACTGAGGTAGACTGGAGTGTGTGTGTAGTGGTGCCTGTATCTCCTAAGGATACCCAGGTGGAAGAAGGCCCTGGAATCTTTGGGTCTGCTGCCCCCTAGGGCCAGGGAAGCCTTCCACAAAACGGGGCGCAGGGGCGGTACTTTTCTGAGAGGAGACGCTGCTGTAGGAGCTCGAGCTCCTGCTGGGTGTTCTGCGTGTGCTCGATGAAATCTGCCTGAGCGAAGTCTCAGGCTCGCTGTACATCGCCTCAGGCTCGCTGGACGTCGGCGTGGGGCTCAGGCTGGGGCTTGAGATGCTGGTTAAGCGGGGGCGAAAGCCCTGGAGGTCGTCATAATTGCCGTCATCGATGTCCATAATTTTCCAGAAGTACTCATTGCCCAAAGTCTCATAGTCCTCCACCCCCTTCTCCTCCTCCTTTGCCGCCTTCTCCTCCTCTGCATCTGCCTTCTCCACTTCCTTCTCCACTCCTATCTCCACCTCTTCTTCTTCCTCCTCCTGGTCCTCCTCCAGCTTCCTGAATCTACGATGCGAGTGCCAACTGGCCATTGCTGATGGGAAGCAGGATCACAGCTAGCCTTGCACAGGGACAGTGGCCGCAGGGACCGGTCCAGGCCTGGGTCACGTGCCCTGTTGTGTGTCCGTCTCCCTGGGCAACTGCCTGAGGCAGGGCAGAACTTCGGGGATTTAAAGCCACAGAACACCCTTAGCCAGTTGGCATGGCAGTGCCTAGAGAGTGGTGGTCAGGCCAGGAGCTGCTAAGGGGAGCTGGGGCCGCTGCAGACATCTTTTGCACCTGCTCTCCATGGTCTCAGAGCGCCCCTCGACCCCCCAGCAGGCTTCTGCGAGATGATTTCCCTTTCCTCTGTCAGCTCCTTTGGAACAAGTCTTTTTATTATTATTTTTTGAGGGGGTAGTGGCTACCAGCGATGGACACCCATAAGGCCGCTTGTTATTGTGTATGCTGGAGTGTGTGTGTGTGTGTGTGTGTGTAGGTAGACCGGTGCTTGCTGAAACTTAGACAAAACTTTGTAAGAAAAACCACCAGCCCTTAGGTCCTACTTTGCTGATTTGAATTTTTATTTTTATTTTAAAAATATTTTATTTTTCTTAGAGGGGAAGGGAAAGAGAAAGACATCAATGTATGGTTGTGTGTCACCATGGCCCCTGCTGGGGACCTGGCCTGCAACCCAGGCATGTGCCCTGACTGGGAATCAAACTGGCACCTCTTTGGTTTGCAGCCTGTGCTCAATCCACTGAGCTACACCAGCCAGGACTGATTTTGAGTTTTTAAAACATTGCCTTAAATATTATCTTGCTTAGTGGGACTGGGGTCTTCTTTATTGCTGGTTCCATCCATTCATCCAGGAGGTGGAAAAAGCTTGAGGCATCTGGCCACCTAAGCACCCCTATGTCTTTCTGGGGCTTTGTTTTGAGTTCATAATACTAAAATTTTGCAAGATACTTTTGTACATACAAATAGGTATGCAGATATAATGTACACCTGTTCACCTACTACCCAGGTTGGAGCATACACTTTCATTGTAGAATTCAGCTTTCTTTTAAAAACTTTTCAAGACAGAAATGTATCTGGTGGGAGGGATTTTGTTTCTGAGGCTTGACGTCATTGCAAAGAAAAAGGAAGCAAACAAAAGATTCTACATGACAAAGGACATCTGGGTGTTGACCCTTACATTAAGTGACTAGCATTAGGCACTTAAGTACCTTTGCATGATCTCTATTGAATCACCTAGCCTCTTTCAGCCTCAGTTTCCCTGGGTATTGATAATGGGAAAAAACTGGAATAAGCATTCGTAAGAGAATACTTAAAATAAGAGCCAAGTGGCTATTAGGGAAGTGGGGCCTCTGCAGATCTTGTGCTTCAGTTCTGATATGCTATTAAGTTACTACACCTGTTGCTAAACTGGAACCTGGGAAAGCCAGCATTTGAGCTGCCTGTCATCACCAAACCCAATAAATAGAGACAGGATTGAATCTTTAGGAGCACTTTATTTAGATGGCCAGTGATTTGAGAAGATGGCAAGTTATGGACTCTAAGAGACCATCTTATATTTCCTTTCAAGCTAGCCTTTTTTATAAGGAGGAAAAAAGATGAAGGTAAGGGATTTGGAATTCAGGAAGAGGTTAATCAAATAAAAGCTGAAGTCCAGCAATTTCCTTAACATCCTTTCACCCGTTGACCTGTGATTCTTTACCTGGGTCCTGTGTCCTATGTTCTGGGTGATTTTCTTTATCTGTGTCCTGGGCAGAGGAATGTCTCTCCCTGGAACACAATGGCTCAGATACCACCTTGACTGCTTATGGTCTCTTCTGGAGCACAAAGGTCGAATTGCTTGTGGTCTCCTGGAGTCAGAGTAGGCCATACTTTCAGTTTTTGAAACAATAGCTTTCTACATGTTTTAACTACTAGATTTATTAACTATTACCAAAAACTAAAAGTTTGCAACTCTTGAGTTCCTCCATCAAACTTGCTATAAACGTCCTGAAACAACTGTTACATGAACACCTGTGGACTTGACCTCCTCCTTGTAGTTTCCACCCCACCTTGTTTGCATATTGGAATTAACCAATCCCTGTTAACCTAGCCAGCAATTCTCCATTTGCATAAAAGAATTACATTTTGTGGTTTTTATCTTTATACACCGTGCCTTTCTTTGTTCTCTCCAGAGCACAGTTTGGGTTGCTACCTGAGTCTGCATTTGTTGGATTGCAATCCTTTGCTCCAATAAATGCTTTTTGTTCTTTATTAAGGCCAGAATCTCTTCTTTGGTTGACATTATAAAGGGGAATAATAGGACTTATCCCTCAGATTTTTGTGGATATCAATGAATGTTAAATGACTGCCTACAACTGACAGTGTGAAATGCAATAAAGCAAGGCACAAAAAAACAAGGTATGCCTGGATATTTATTTTATGTCTCATATGTACAATTTTGTATCATGCTTTTTAAAATTTAGCATGACATTATAAACATTCTCATTAATTTTTGTATCACATCAAGTAGCTATACCTCAGTTAATTCACTTGTTTTTGCATTTAATTAGAGAATTATCAAAAGGATATTCAGTATCGCTTTCAGTCAAGGTGGCAGAGTAAGTAAATGCTGTACTCACTTTCTCCCATGATCACATCAGAATCACAACTAAATAGAACAACCATCTTTGAGAACCACCTGAAGTCTAGCTGAACAGATCTCCCATAACTAAGGACATAAAGAAGAAGCCAGGTGAAACTTGGTAGGAGAGGTGGAGATGCAAATCTCTGGAGGTGGGGCTGGCCCCAGACCTACCTGTGACAGTTAAGAACTGGGATATCTCAGCTGCAGAGGTCTCCACCAAGGAATCGTGGGTCCCAGCCCCACCAGGCTCCCCAGCCCAAAGCACCAGTGCTAGTAAGAGGAGTCCTCACAACAGCTGGCCGTGAAAATCATCAGAAACTCAGTTTGGGTGAGATGGAGTGCTCCTGCAGATTCAGACATTCTCTCAAAGGGCCCAAACACAGATGTACTCACTAACAATTGCCTTATAAACTCCACTGAAGGGATAGCATACTCTCCCTCTTGGGAGCACACCCATACCTTTCCCTTCACCCTCTTCTTCTGCACCCCAGGTGTGTTACCTTTGCTTTTCTTTTTCTTGAGCTCCAAGGGCCCTTCTACTTCTGCAGCTTGTTTCCTGAAGCTCACACAGCCCAGCTGGCTCACTTCTATTACCTCTGTAACTTTCTCAATAAACTTGCTCTTATAATTTGGAAAAAAAATGCCAGGAACATATGAGGAGGATTGAATTGTCTGGCTTCAGGATGAGGACTGGAAGGCAGCTCTCTCCCAGACAAAACTGCTAGCAGATGATATTGGTCCTTTGCTGAGCCCTTCCTCCCATACTGGGAGTACCATATCTGAGTCTCCATCAACTTGCTTCATACCACTCACCCTGGTGATTCCCTGAGACCCTGCCTCACCCAACACGAGCACCAGCGTGATCTTTTTTCAGCAGCTGTTCCCCACAAGCTGCCAGCCTAAGCCCATGATTTGGACTTTCTTAGTAGCTCTCAAAATTCTACAAAGCCCAAACAAACAGCTTCTGGCCTTGATGTACCCTGTATCACTTGCTAAAACAGCCCCCAGTACAACAGTAGTATCAATCAACCTTGGTTCACAGCATAGCTTCTCCCAGCTGCCTCCAAGTCCAGCATAGACTGCTACCAACCACACATCACTTTGTATCTCCTAACAGTGGCCCTAGGCTGGACACACACAATGGCAGACTTGTATCTGCACTGAAGCCCTTCCCAAGAGACCCCAGAACCAATACCCAGAGGCTGGCTTCAGACCACACCAAAGTACCATCCAGTTAGCTCCACACACAACATACCCAAAGGATGGACTGGGCAGGCAGAAGAGCCCCACTAAAAGGGGATCCTGCTCCATGGGGTCAGCTCCTCCACTGTAGTCATGGCCCATCCTCACAGTGAATCAGCATGAGGGTCAGTTCTAACCACTAATGTGCCAATAGCAATCAAGGCTCGACTACAACAGAAGGACACACATAGTCCACACAAGAGATACCCTTGGAGCACCTAGCTTAGATGACTAAGGAGTCTGTACCACTGGGCCCCACAGAACACCTACTATTGGGCTGGCTAAAAAGTTTGTTTAGTTTTTTTTCTGTAAAATGGCTGTAATAGTACTTAGTGGTGTTTAACTTCATTCAAAACAATTTTGTTAGATTATATTGTGACAACTGTCATATCAGTGTACATTAAAAAAACTTACCAAAATTGGTGAATTTTTGTACAGCCATTTTAATATTGAAGATGAAAGAAGATATGCTTCATTTTTGGCATATTATGCTTTATTATTTTAACAAAGGTAAAAACACAACTGAAACACAAAAAAAGATGTGTGCAGTGTATGGAGAAGGATGCTGTGACCAATCAAATGTGTTAAATGTGGTTTGTGAAGTTTCTTGGTACTATTGATATTTTGGCCAAATAAATCTTTTGCTGTGGGGCTGTCTTATGCATTGGAAGATGTTTAACAGCACCTCTGACCTCTACCCACTAGAAGCCAATAGCATGAGATAGCCAACATACTCAAAATACCCAAATCAATAACGTTATTGGTGAAAATGGAAAATGTATATTTTATTTAATGGAAAAAACTAAACAGGAAATTTGGCCAACCCAATACATAAGGCTACTCTGCCAAGACATGGAAACATAGTAGATCTATCTAATTCTTAGAAACAAACAAAAGAGGGGCAGAAAATATTTTTTAAAAAAACAAAGAAATGTGTCCCAAATAAAATTACAGGACAAAACTCCTGAAAAAAAACAAACCTAAACAAAATGGAGGCAAACAATCTACTAGATACAGAGTTCAAAACACTGTTTATAAGGATGTTCAATGAACTTAAGGGAAGAATAGATGAAGTCAGTGAGAACTTATACAAAGATATAGAAACATAAAAAGAACCAGTCAGAAATGAAGAATACAATAGCTGAAATGAAGACAATCCTAGATGGA